TAGCGCCGGTGCAGCACATGTCTCAGAAAGACTAGCGATATTAGTGATACGATCTTCATTGGAGTGCGTACTTTGAAGAAAAAGGCGCCAAATATCCGACGGGAGTAACTGCAATGTGTAGTAGAGCGCCGACTGCCCTTCGTACTCGGCTTCCAATCGAGCGCCTACATCCATGGTGCTATCCTTATTTTCCGAGAAGGTTCTACCTCGCCGAAGCAGATGCAAGAACGTTCGCGTCGCGCCGCTCACGAGTGCGTACTGCACCGGCGTGCAGCCCATGGCATCCTATCTCTCAATGTTTCAACCTTTCAATCTTTCAAAAATGGACCAATCCAATCGTACCACAACGTCGATCTCGGCGTGGTATGTATCGAGCAAGCAATCAATGGCACCTTGCGCGTACGGCGACCGAGCGACATAATGCAGCAGTGTCGGGGTTGATCCATCGCCGCGGAGCCGCCCGAGGTACGTCTCAGCATCAGCAAGAGGCAGCGAGAGCAGCCGCTCGACAATGTGGGCGTGCTGGCGCGTGGTTTTGGTGGCGGCTTCGTAGAGGGCATTGCCGTCTGCCCACGCCGTATCGACAACGCCATGATCCAGGAGACACTCCATCGCATCCATAGCGCCTCTATCCAAGGCTCTCTATCAGATCTGATTGCATTCGTAGTTGAATATTTTGTACCGGCGCGCTGCGTATTGCAGCGGAGTCAGATTGTGAAAACGCTTGCTTCGGGCGGTCAGCGAGAGGCCGTGGGCTGCTAGTTGCGTCAGATGCCCGACAGCGTTGCGCCCGCAAGCCGCATGTACACGGTAGTAGCCATCAGTACATCGAGAGACAATCAAATGCTGCGTCGTCTACGCCCCAAACAGTGGTGTTGGTGTAGCAAGGTGGAGGGTTTACGTTGGCAGGAGCGGCAAGCAGACTCCGCAGCGCCCCGAGCAAAGGTCGCCAGGATGGTTCGCTGGTATCGGTAAAGAACAGCTTGAGCGAGTGTGGGTGAATCGCTGCGCGATAGGACGCGCTGCGAGAAGCTCCCATGGGATGCCCAAAGAACCTACGCCATTTGGTGGTCTGTCGCTTCAGAGAGATGTATGTACGCGAGGTAGTCGTACGGCACGTAGCCGTCGTCGTTGGCAACAGAGACAAGCTCGGGGCAGATGGCTTCGAGCCATTCCACTAGCGCGAGGTGGCCGGCCGCACACGCCACGTGCAACAGCGTGTCACGACGCGTCGACTACGCATTTTGCATAACCAACGGGTCGATATTCAACTATACCACTGGATCACGCCAGCAAATATCGCTTTTGGATGCGAGCCACTGGGCGATGTTCAGTTGGTTGGCTCTGATGGCGGTTGCGAGAAGCGAACTTGAGCTCGACGGATGGGGCAGATGCGACCATAGAAATGTGAGGAGCTCAGTACTGAGTTGCTGGACACCATAGTGAAGTACGCTTCGTCCTAGAATACGACACCTCAGTAGGGTCATATATCACATCAGTATATATCTTACCTTTGGCATCGAGCTCATGCAAGCACCACGGTCCTTCAAGCACGAGAAGCACGCGAAGAATGTCGAGCCGTTGAAACTGAACGGCCCAGCTCGCAGCTGGTCTGCCTACCATTGCCTTGCTGCGTAGAAAGAGTCCTGGGTCGTGCATCTGCGCATTGTACCTCGCAGTAAGAGGCCGCGTTGGAGGCGCGATTGGCGTTGAATTAGACTCCGCACGTTGGCGAGCGGCGAGTTCGCGCAACACGCCCAGTTGAGTGCCCACGGCGGTCGCAGCGCCAGTACCAAGTTGGCATCAGCGACTGGCGCAAGGTCGCTCGTGTCGACGTCGGTCGCAACATGCTGGTGAAGGGCGAGGGCGGCGTCGACAAAGCCACCTTGGATCGCACGCCGAAGGCAGGGCGCCGGAGTCTAATTGCACGCAATTGTTTCAAAATATCAATCCAGAGAGTTTGCGACGCACAAGCTGGGCGAGGTACGCATTATGGGTCAGGAGGCGGTAGCCAATCGCTGACCGGCGCTCGTGCTCGCGCAAAGCACGTGTTGTCCATCGATGGCCATGCATCGTGAGCGCCAGCTTCAACGCGGGTGCGTCTTTGGCGTCGATCGGGTAGTTGTGTTCGATGAGCCACTCGACACTTTTGGGGCTTGCGGCAGACGCTACAATGCAGAGCAGCGAAACCTACGCAAACAGTGCATTGAAAATACGATGTCAAAACAGTATCTTGGCGCAGGCATCGCACCTGCGGTGGCCATGGCACGCTTAGCGTACGCAAGCAGCTTGCAAGAGCAAGCTTTTCGTGGGTCAGCGCCAGCACCAGACAGGTTGTATCGTTGACAAGGATAGCTTTCTTTTGTATCGTGGCGTACAGGGCCAGGAGCGCACACACGTCGTCTTCGCTACCCTGTCCCTTGCAGACACTCTTGACGAGAGCTGGAATGCACCGGGCAGCGTCATATGGCGCCGGCGACGCCAGCCACTGGTTTGCAAAAGGTGTGAGCACCGGCCGACTTTGAGGATGCTGCAAAAATATGTTTGCAAAGGTGCTATCGGTACACAAATATGTCAGCACAAAGGACGACATGACGGAGGTTCGAACCCATGCCCAGCGTCGGCGCCGGCGTCGAGCAAGAGTTGCGCCGTCTCGTACTGACGGCCGCGGAGCGCCACAAGCAGCGGTGATGTCGGCGCTTCCTCGGTCCGTGAAGCGTCCAAAACAACTTTGGTATGGCGAAAGCGGGTGACGGACGGCGCGTCACCGATGTGAGACCGCTCACGGCTGTGTACTGCGAACCACAACGTTTTGAGTTCGATCACCGACTGTTGTACATCCTGCAGTGTCCTAATCAAGATATGTCACATATTTCCAGCAGAATTTAGAGTGAAAATGTACGTGGCAGCGAGTAGTGGCCGACGTCGGGTCGCGGTAGCAAGGTCCGGCTCGTTTTCCTTCGTCAGATAGGTGGTAGATGGTACCCCATGTTCAATGTTGACGCCGGCGTCGATCAACGCCCGCACGATTTCATTGGCGCCGATCGCCGCGGCATAATGCAGCGCCGTGTATAGCGCGACATCGCAAAGCGCCAAAAAATCAGTGGCCGCCAAGCCGTGGATCTGACTCGTCGTCAGCAAGTACATGGCGATGCCACGTTGACGGCGTAAGAGGCTTGTGTGCAGGGCCGTGCGACCGTTGACGTCCACAGCCGACAGCAATCGTGGAAGGTGCGAGGCTGCTATCGCTGCGTCCAAGAGCAAAACAATGCCTTCAAGGAAGCCGTGGGCTGCACACACATGTAGCGGCGTCGCGCCCGACTGATCGGCTTGAAATACGAGGTGCGGAACTTGCGCCAACAAGGACCGAACGCAGTCGATGTGCATCGATGCACAAGCTACTGACTTTGAGTCGATCCTTCGCTTAGGGATAGGTGAAGCTACCTTGATGCAGCAAGCTCCATTGGAGTTGCGGCAACGCTGCATCGAGCGGTAGCTTGTACGTTGTCGTCAAGTGTTGCAGGCGCGCGACGCTGCCATTGCGACACGCCTCATGGAGGCAACCTCTAGTCATTGACACGAAATAAATGGCTGTAAAATCTCAAAAAAACATTGAAAAAGAAAATGCACATGTACCGCTGATGGACGTCGAGCGCTTGAATGGACCAGCCGTTGTTGTCCAAACGCTGTAGCGTTGCCGTAGAGGCATGTTGGAGCATGGAGTCGGCCATGATGTATCGTTTTCGCTTCTACCATTTCCCACGATCGCATTTTGCATCTTCTTCTATGAAGTATATATCGTACCAGGGCAACATGGAGCGGGGTCTCGCCCCGATGGTTTTGGACATGGAGTTGCAGAGGTATATCTCTCTCCTGCAGCAGTCGATCGACGCATGCGACGTGGCCATGGGCCACCGCGACGTGCAGGGCCGTCGAGAGCGTCGCATCTTGGTAGAGTGCACACGTTCCGTCGTTCAGCAAACGATTTACACCATCAATATTGCCGTTGCGACAGGCTACAACTCGACTTCAAACATATTTCAAAATGAATGTTTATACCGTGGTGCAGCGGCGGTTCGTAGGTGGCGTGTGCTAGCCGCCAGAGATGCTGGTGGGCGCTCCACGTGTGGACGAATGCGAGGATGACGTCGTTGTCGTCACCGGCGGTCGCGTCATAGCGAGCAAAATATCGCTGGATGTGACGCGCACGGCGTGTTGGTGTTGAGGCTTTATCGTCGAGCGTCGTATACGACTCCATAGCATCGGCGTTACTCGGGCGTGCAACGGCCAGGCCGATGTTGCAGCTGCACCGCCATGGTCGGCTCCAAAGTCGTATCTCATTGGTCAGAATACTCATATATTTGGCCAATCACGGTCGATTCGCTTCGCCACACCAGCCGCTCCTCGGGGAACGACCGCTTTCGACGCCCCAATCGAGTTTGAAACGAATTCGCTATAACTTTGCACAGAGATAAAAGACACTTTGGAGAGTACGTTGCGCTATATCGCATGGTCAGGCGACGCGTACAACACGAGAAATCACATCTGTTATTAATACTGGCAGACGCCAAGTATAGCCATATATAGTATCTAAATATGGTTATTAGTGGCATGCGCCACTATGAAAAGGTTGAAGTGGCGAGCGTGACCATCAGGGTCCAGACGAGAGTAAATGTTAGCGGCCGAAGAGTACGCGCAGCCCCCGGCAGTCGCCCCCGGGACTCGAAACACCTCGTAGGCGACCCAGAATGTGGTACCGACGCTGCCTGATATAACGCATCGAGGGTCCGGTCCGAGCCCAGGTCGCCGAGGCCCACAAAATGGCGCTTGAAGAGGCAAACATCGTTGAGTTCGCTGCTCGTGGGCACGCTTCGTCGTGGCCGCGGCTGTGTACGTCATATGCGTGTCGCTCGTCGTCCATGGAGTGATCAAGATGGAATGCGGGGCCGTGCTTGTTGACCCTAGCCCTAGCCGGCAATGTTCGTACTCGCATTCTCGATCGTTTTCAACACACATGAGGCGCGCTGGTGCGTCAAAATCCCAGTCAAGTTGGGGGTTCTCGTTGCTTCTGCAAACTGACTCAGAGATATATGCAAAATCGATTGGTTCAAAAGCGGAAATACAAGCGATATACAGAGGCCCGTGCGTTATCAGCGCCTTACGCAGCCTACGTACGAAGACAAAAATGAGGATTGAGAGAGCAATGACATCACAAAAGTACCTCGCTGCTGTTATTGGAGCCTTCCGAGATCGTCGGCAGCCCCTTGACGTTGGTGCGCGTCATCGTCGTCGCCTTCTCAAGCAGACTGCTCGTCGGCGCGTCATCGTCATTGCCAGTCTTGCGGCGCAGGAGGAGCTCAGTCACAATCGCTTCCGCTGTCGGGCGCTCCGTCGGGTTGAACGCCAGACACTTGTCTGCGAGGTCCTGGAGCCAGCGCGGGCACGTCGCGCTCATGGTTGGGCGCAGCAGCCCCGTGCGGACCTGGGCTTCAATGTTGCTGCGATCGACGAGATCCGAGTACGGCTCACAGAGCGTATCGAGCTCGGTCAAGACGACGCCAAACGAGTAAATGTCGGCGGCCGTCGTGTACGCACGGCCTTGCCCTGCAAGATCTGGCACCCGGAGCACCTCGGGTGCCATCCAAAACTTGGTGCCGACGTTGGACGTGAAGTTGTCACCATCGAGCATCCGCGCCGAGCCCAGGTCGCCGAGCCGGACGTAGTACGTCTTCGAGAGGAAGATGTTGAGACTCTTGACGTCGCGGTGGGCCACGTTGCGGCGGTGCAGGTCGGCCAGCGCCATGGCCACGGCCAGTGCGACCTCAATGGTCGAGAGCTCCATCTCCAAGTCTACTCCGTGCTGTTTGTGCTGGAGGTACTGGAACAAATCGCCTTGGTCCATGTACTCTGTGATCATGGTCGGGCTAAACAGCTGGCTCCGCGGCTTGACGGCGTGCGGCTTCAGCGAGCCATTGTCGAGGACTGCGAGCAGCGGCAGGAGGTACGGCGACGTGAGCCTACAGGAATTGCGTCACAAGACGCTACGATTCGGGCCCGGTTGTACGTTTTCATAATCTCGACTTCTCGATACATGGTCTTGATCAGGCGCGCATTCGCAAACTTGGAGCCTTTCAAGACCGCGTCCTTGCCCAAGTACGTGCCCTTGTGAACCGTCACGGTGTGGCTTGTGAAAATGCTCACTTCGACCGTCAATTCGTCGGTCGACGCCTAGTAGCAACGCTACTTGCGATCGTCCGAAGGAAAGAGGCGATACCACCGCGACACCTGGATAGAGGTGCGGGTAGAGCTCTTGCGCAATGGCGTCATGGCCGTGCTGGATGGCCACAGCGAGAAGCGTCATCCCCTTTTGCTCCTACACCGAGGATCAAGATACGAAGACGGTACCAGCGAAGCTACCGGTTGCATGGTCCACACGTCCGCGCCCAACTCCAAGAGGCAGCGCACGGTATCTTCGCGGCCTCGACGCACAGCTTGCACGAGGGCCTTGTTGAGACCGTCCTAGACGCTTACTATGAGCCAAAGCAGCGTGGACCAGAGAGACCGGGTCGGCATTATCCAAGAAAATCCCGTAAGCTGCGAGCAGCGCGTCTCGGATCGCGAGGGTCTCTGGGAGACCTTGCACCGCGGCTACTACCAACGGAGAACCATCCTATTTGAAGCATGAGCTGCCAGTCTATCGCATTGCCTCATAGGAGCACGCACTGGCAGCGGCCACGAAGGGTCAGCGCCAAGGCTCAAGAGAACGTCAACGAGGTGACTGCGCTTGCACAGGACGGCCAGCGCCAGCGCCGTGTACCCGTCCTACCATAGCACATGGTACATCAGCAAGATCCGACCGCATGCAACATACTTCGTTTTTGGCGTTCATGTCGACAAGGGAACTTGCAGCCAAGAGCGTCAGCAAGGTCGCATGGTCTTGCTTGACGGCCATGTGCAGAAGCGTGGTGTTCATCTACACGAGTATTTGTGTAGCCGTCCTGCACATGCCACAACGAGTACCCCACAGACGCCATCGGCAAGACTGGCAGCGATCTGCAGGAGTAGCCCGACCAGCCGGACTTTGTTCATGGCCACGGCGGCCGGCAACACCGTCTCGCATACCTACCGAGCGTTATGTTGGACGAAATGCCTTGACCGGTGTACCTTGCTTTTGGTCGCGTCATCGGCGCGGAGAAGAAGGGCTCGCAGTAGCGCTGCGTTGTCCGACGCGACGGCCTGGCCCACAATCTTGTCCTAGCCGGCACGTCGTCTATACCTTGAGAGTAGATTCGATGGCATTCGAACCATGTCCTTATACGGGACGCCCTCGTAAAGGAGCGCCTGGACTGTCGTCCATTGACCGAGAACGACAGCATTCGTGAGCGTGCGCTCCTAGGTGCAACCGTCGAAGTGCGATTGAGGATAATATCAATG